AGGTGAGCGAACGCTGGTATGTGTTCGCTCACCTCCCGATCTACTGAGCCGACCTGTGACAGTCTCATTGTCACAGGTCGGCTAGAACTATGAGGTGAGTGAAAAGGACTCACCTCATAGTTCTCCTTTAAGTAGCCAGTGTTTTGTTAGGTGAGGCTCCAGTTTCAGACAGCCGCAGTACAAGTGCAGATGTAAACAGGTGCAAAAAAGGTACAAAAACATGCAACTGAAAAAGTAGTGCAAGCTCAGGTGAAAACAGGCGCACGTGTTGAAAGACAGATTTGCACATTAAAAAAAAAAATGATCTAAGAGGCTAAAGCTGTTGCAATCGCTTTGATAAATTCCCCGTATTGTGTTCTTGGAGAAATTATACATTAAATAGTTATTAATCTCTGCTGACACACAGAAGTGAGCTGCAGATTCTCTGACTTTATATTTCCTCCAGTTTTATAAACAAATCTTTTGTGTCTCTGTGTACAGTAGCGTCATCAGCATTTCAGTACCTTTGCCCTGATTGTCACCACCCAGAGACATCTGTCATTGTGTCTGCACCCGCGTAACCAGTCACGGTGTGTTCATGTAATGACATACAGGATTTTATCTCTTGTATGAACAGCTGTACGAGCTCAGCATTCACTCGGCGTCCTGTGATTACCTGTTTCCTCCACTTGTCCCTCCAATGGGGCCCATTCGCACTTTTGCATTGCGTTCATGCATGCGTTTAGTGTATTGAATACTGAATGGGCTGGCAGCACAAGTCAATGCATGATGAAACATAATTTTCAATGTAGCACACCACAATGCACAGATGGGTCACATATGTGCATTGCTGTGCCCTAAAACACATGGGCATTGAGTTATGCAGGCTAGGTGCCTTGAGGTGCTATTTAAATGAAAGGAGCTGCAATGCACAACATGTAGCCCCATATGTTAATGTGCGTTGTTGGTCATTATGCGTTGATGCAGGTTTTATTGTGCACTACCTCAATACATTAGTGTAAATGGGCCTTCAAAATACAGCTTAAGCTGATTTCTGGGATAAGTAAATATTGTCCTCATACAAGAGTCATGTGTATTCTTCCTTGAAGCTTGGTGTATTTCTTCCAGATCTGTGCAGTAATCTGGCGTAAGACTTGGAGCTTCCAGTAATAAAGACCGCTCACTGCTGTTCTCTCTCCTTGTGCTGGTCTTGTCTCCGCCCACTCCTGTGCCCATACACTTTGCGATAATCGCAAAGTGTATGGAAGACGTGCAACCGTTTTTACTGTACGGTCGCACGTCTTTTGTCTAAGGAGCATGCTAGAAAACCAGCCGAGAATCGTACGATTGTTGGCGGGTGTGTGGCATGTTCGTAAGATCAATGCCGCACGGGCCGGTGTGCGCACGCGCACACTGCCCGTTCAGCATTGCGGTCATCGGATGCCCGCCCCTCAGGGGGGCGGGCTTGCGATGATTGCAAGTACGATCTGCCTGTCCAAGATGGACAGATCGTAGGTTTTTTAAATTACTTTACAACCATCGCAAGACTAAGGTCTTGCGATGGTTGTAAAGTGTATGGCCACCTTTATAAAGATCAGTCACTGCTGCACTCTCTCCTTGTGCAGGATGACTGGTCTTGTCTCCGCCCCCTCCTGCGGGGTCACCAAGACAGGAAGATACACACAGATGAGAATGCTTAACAGAGCTTCTGACCATTTTTCTCATTATTATAATTTGTGTCAACCAAGTCCACGGTGCGTGCAACAAAAATCGACTTCCCTTTGTGAACAAAAGAGTGAATTGTGAAATCACAAGGCACAAAAAAAAAGTGCACGAGGGTGCTTGCGGTCCTCCACTGAAGAGGAAGGTCCTCGGATTCCTGAACCCCCCAGGCCGCAAAGCTCCTGACAGGGGCAAGGACGACTCAGGTCCACCTACCCGAAGGCTGGCGGACCCCTCTCCTCGAGTCCTGGGTGGGGGCTCTCCCAGAAAGAGACCCCCCAAGTGGGGGAAGGCAGAGAAGCCGGTAATGGCCACAGAACCCCCCTCCCAACTTCAAGGTACCCGCACCCTCCGTCATCTGTGGCGTCAAAGTGCTCAATTGTGCATAAAAGTAGTGCCTACAATAAATAGGTGCCAGAACACAAACCTGGCAGGCCATCCGGGCAAGGTATAAAAACTCAACCTGACCACAACCCCCACATAACCCAAACCCCCTACTTAGCCGCATTCCCTCGCAGCTTCCCTACCTTGCCACTACTGGAGCCATCACTACCAGAGCAGGTCTCCTGGATATGGGGACCTTCCCTTATGTAATGGTGCTTGGGCCT